AATTTTGCAAATCTGTTAATGTATATATGGAAATATACATCCATATATACTTTTTAAATTTTAATATATCATCTGATGAGATCATATCCTAAGCAGGTACCCCAAACTACAATATTTGGAAATTTCAACTAATAAAGTGCCATATTCTAGGTTTCTATGGTAACTTCAACTAATTTTCTAAAGACATATATTTAAAATTATCATATGGATAAATAACCCCAATTAATATGCATGTGTTTATTAGTCTCTCATCTACGATACTAAATTTAGATGAAATAATCAAGCAAAAATATAATAATGTTTTGCATTCCGAAGTCCTATTAATAGCAATTCCAGGTTTTTTAAAAAAACATCTTAATCCTCCCAGTTTATCCTTGTAATCACAGATCAAATTCTGAATATGTAACTAAGTGCTTCAATTTTACTTAAAAGTTAAGTATGACAATACCAATGAAATCAACAAATGGAATGAGATTCTTATACTGGTTAATCAGTAAAAGAAATCAGGAAAAGAAACAAGGAAAAACTTCAGGATAAAAAATACCTAAGATAGTTGTTGTTCGTTCATTCTTGATGTGCTGACTAGAGATAATTTTTGGCAAAAGTCACCTAACTCAAAGTATCAGTTCGTTACAATGTGATGTATGCTAAAGAATACTTGATGTCTTTGGGAAAATGTTTCATATCTTATACAGATTAGGATTATTATGTTAAAATTAGATTCATAAGGTATTTGATCAAGTACATTGTGCTTATTTTTCCCCTTCAATAATTATCACCTATGAAATCTATTCCTTAAATGTTTTTAACTCCTGAATTAATCTGGATTTACATAAAAACATAAAGCCATTTTAATAACTATAATGCAACACTGACATAGAGCATCTCAAAAGTACTAACTAGTACTCAACTTTCTGAGAATGAAGCAGCATATAGAGACACTTCCTCACTGTCATAATTGTTGATGCTTTTTTAAAGACACATCATCTTTTTGATGGACTAACAACTATTTTTATATATTAAAAGCAATGGTGTGGTTATTTGCTATAAAGATTATTTTGCTGTCCAATTTTAATAGAAAAGAAAAACATCTTCAACTTGATTATCAATGGCACTATATTTTGTGGCAAAAACTGACTTATCATCAACAAAACCGTTGTATAGGAAGTTCTGAATACAGTTTTCTCTTCAAAGTATAGTTTTAAGTAAAAGAACTTACAACGTAGCATATAGTTTTAGTTAAGTAAAACTATACTTTAAAGAAAAAGGCAGGATGTGCTGCTTTCAAAAGAGCTTGAAGGGAGTTTGAATGATTCAAGCTTTCCTCTAATAAAATGCCACAACAAAAGGTTTGTCTTTTTACATGTAGGGGAAAAAAATTTAATAGGTTGTTTTGTTAGAAACCTAAAATGTTAAAGTTTCCCATTACCTCACTTTGACAAGTTTTATTTTGTTTTGACAGTGCCACTTTGAACATCAGGGGAGAAAAGTGAAACTAATATCGTAGGTTCTATATTTTAAGAAATTATTTTACGTGATCCTGAAATATGTAAATTTTTAAGTTGTTTTAAATAGTCAACTATCAAATTCTCAGAAGTTATTTAGTTCCTAACCTTTCCTAGTTCATTTAACCTTCCTTCAGAGCTTTTCAAGCTCCAATTTAGAGCTTTCAACCCCAACTCAGGCTTGGAAATAAAATGAAACGCAGTCTATTTTAGCTATTTGTACGCAATAGTGGAAGTAAAGGCAAAGGCTGAAACACAAATTAGACTTGGGATTCGCTCTAGATTTCAGATCCAAATTTATTTCCATTCCTCTATTAAGAGGCACAAAAAAGGGCACACCAAAACTTGTACAAAAATGTTGATGGAAGCATTATCCATAATAGCCAGAAACAACAAGCAAGGCTATGTTCAAAGCTCAATTAACAGAAAACAAAAGGTAACTTTAAAATGTTAATGTATAATTTGGAATTAAGTTAACAAACTTCCAAAAACACATTCATGGAGGCGGCTCAGGTGGTTAGAGGGCCGGCTCATAACACCCAAAGTTGCCAGTTCGATTCCCACATGGGCCAAGGAGCTGCACCCTCCACAACTAAATTGAAACAACTACTTGACTTGAAGCTGATGGGTCCTGGAAAAACACACTGTTCCCCAATAAAATTTCTTTAAAAAAACAACAAAAAAAAACACATTCATTAATCAAAAGTATGCAAAATATTATAAGAATGTCATTTTTAAATGATCCTTTTAAAAGTTTCATAAATCGCCATTGTAAAACTTAACATCTAAAATTGATAGGCTAAACCAAAAATTCATCTGGAAATGCAAGGGACCCAGAATAACCAAAATAATTTTGAAAAAGAGCAAAGCTGGAGGACTCACACTTCCTCATTCCAAACTTACTACAAAGCTATAGTAATAAAAACAGTGTGGTTGGTACTAGCATAAGGGTAGACAATGGAATACAACTGAAAATCCAGAAATAACCCGTACATCTATGGTCAACTGATTTTCGAAAAGGATACCAGAACTATTCAATGGAGAAAAAAGCCTTTTCAACGAAGGGTGCTGGATATTCACATGCAAAAGAATGAAGCTGTACGTCTTCCTTGCACCACACAAAAATTAACTTCAAGTGGATCATAGGCCTAAATGTAAGACCTATAACTACAAAACCCACAAAAGAAAACATAGAAGTAAATCTTTGTAACCATGGCTGGGGAAGATTTCTTAGATAACAAATGCATAAGTCAGCAGTTCTCAACCTGTGGGTCGTGACCCCTTTGGGGGTCGAACGACCCTTTCACAGGGGTCGCCAGGTACTCATATGTGGGCGTATCTGCATGTGGGCCTGGAGACGGATAGAGGAGCCGTGTCTCAGTTCCTAAGACCATTGAAAATATGTGTTTTCCGATGTTCTTAGGCGACCCCTGTGAAAGGTTGAGAACCACTGGCATAAGTGATAACAGAAAAATTAGATAAACTGGGCTTCAACAAGAGTTCATCATAATTAAAAATGTCTGTGCTTCAAAGGACACCATCAAGAAAGAGAAAAAAACAGCCCTCAGAATGGGAGAAATACTTACAAAATCATATATCGGATAAGAGACATGTACCCAGAATATAAAAAGAACTGCAACTCGATAATAAAAAGAAAACCCAGTCTAAAAATGGGCAGTGGATCTGAACAGACATTTCACCAAAGAAAATATGTGACTGGGCAACAAGCACATGAAAAGATGTTCAACATCATTAGCCACTAGAGAAATGCAAATCAAAACCACAGTGAGATACTACTTCATACCCACCTACTGCAATAAAAAATACAGGTAACAAGTGTTGTCAAGCATGTGAAAAAATTGGAACCCTCAGACATTGCTAGTGGAATTGTTAAATGATGCAGCCACTTTGGAAAACAGTTTGGCAATTCCTTGAAATGTAAAATAGAGAATTACCATATGACCCAGCAATTTCATTCCCAAAATAAATTAAGACATATGTCCACACAAAAACTTGTACAAACGTGTTCAAAGCAGCATTGTTTACAATAGCCAAAAAGTGGGAACTAAATGTCCTTCACTGATGATGGATAAACTGTGTTATATACATACAATGGAGTATTATTTGGCCATAAAATGGAATTAAATACTGATACACGCTACATCATGAATGAACCTTGGAAACATGCTAAGGGAAAGAAGCCAGTCCCAAAGCACCACATACATGAGTATGATCCCATTTGATATGTCCAGAACAGACAAATCCAGAAGCAGAAATCTACAGATTAGTTGCCTACAGTTCAGGTAGGAGGAAAATGGGGAGTGAATGCTAATGGATACAGGGATTCTCTTTGAGGTGATCAAATTGTTCTAAAATTGATTGTGGTGATGTATGCACAACTCTATGAACATACAAAACATCCTTGAACTGTATACTTGAATGGGTGTATTGTGTATGTGAAGTGTACCTTAATAAAGCTGTTAAAAAAACAACACCTAATGTCGCTTGTAGAAAACACGGAACTTTCAAGGCTAACTATGAACTGATCTGATTACTAAGCAAGTTCATGCCTGAGACACTTAGAAATAAGCCACAATCCTTAAGCACTGAAAGATTACTCCTGTAAATATTTCGAAGTCTTAACTGAAACGGAATTGTAGTACTTGCAACTGTCAGGACATAAAATGAGATTCGCCCAAGATACCTGAGGAAACATGTTCCTGTACATGGCTGAAGTGTATTTCCCATGACAACAAACAATAACTGCTGCAAAACACTCCACAGGGAGACGAAGAAGTCAATCTCAAAGAAGAATCTAGTACTAATACTGAGTTAAGAAGGGTGTGTAGAAAGAATGAGGAACGGGAAGCTGCACGGGGACAAGGGGGAAGTCTCGGTGCATTTAAGCCCCAGGAATCCAGTTACATTAAATTCAACTTTTATACGCTTTGTGAACAGGCCCAGAGGCAAAGTCCTGGGCGCAGACCAACGGGCCGAGCTGCGAAGCCGAGAGGAAGTGCAGATCCGACCCCAGTCCGCACGGGATTTCGTATGGAAATGGTCGGGGGGGGGGGGCGCCTGCCGTGCGGGAAGGAGGCGAGCCCCTTCTCCCAGCTGGGGCCGGCGCTCGCCTGCAGCGCGCAGCTGGGGGCGGCCGCGCCGCCGGCCCGTCGTGCGCGCTCGAGCCGCGGAGCACGCCCGGCGCCTGGAGCTGCGGCCGGCGGGCGGCCCCTCGGCGTCCCCAGGATGGGCTGAGGGGCCGCGCTGACAGCCCCCGGCCCCAGCGAGGACTGCGAGCCTGCGACTCCCGGAGGCCACCGACCCGTCGCCCTGCTTCATCCAGGCGGGACCCATCAGGCGGCGGTCCGAGGACGCTCGCCCTGCCCGCGGAGCCGCCGCCGCCGCCGCCACCGCCCGAAGTGCACGCAGGCCGAGGTCAGGCGCAGAAAGCCTCGGACTCCGAAACCCACACAATTTTCCGCATCCCTCTCTTACCCAAAAATTCTCGACGAAATGCGCCATGACCATCGTGCCGCTGTCGCCACCGCCGCGCCGGGTTCTGCGTCCGTGCCCGCCCGCCGCTGTGTAAACACCGGCCCGGCCCCCACGGCGCCCCCGCCTTTCGCCGCCGCCGCCTTCTTCCCGGAGACCAGCCCGCACCCTTCAGGGCGCATGCGCCACCTAGCGGCTGCAGCGGCGGGACGAGCACTTAGAAGACGCCGCCTGGTGCGCGCATGCGCCCCGGGCTCCGTTCCCGGGTTTCAGTCGCCTTGCGCGCTTCCAGCGCGGGCGCGGCTAGGTTGAGTATTCTCTTGGGAATGGTGGAGAACTGGGTCCTTGAGGAGTCACCCGGGAGGCTGTCCGCACCCTTTGCGGTGCGATGGGTACTGGCCCCGGGATCGGCCTAGGAGAAGGGCCGGCCAGCGGCAGTGGAGCCGGTAACCTGGCTGTCCTCTCTCTTCCTCACGAGACTCGCTTCCCCCGCCTTCTAGGATTCCGATGGGACCCAAGTCTGGGCAAGCTGCGATGGGGGAAACTTGGCCTCTAGCCATCTGGACGAGACTCAAAAGCCTTTGGTCAACAGGGTGCCTTTCCTTGACAGGGTACTAAGGACCAAAACAAAACTTTCCAAGGCCGGAAAAGGAGGAAACGCCCAGTGTCGCCAGAGAGCCACTGGTGCTGCGCGAGACCCAGGCACCAAGTCCACGACCTCTAACACGCCCCGAGCAAACTGAGCAAACCAGCCAGGATAGTCTACTGCAAGAACGTGACCCCAAACGAACGAATTTCCCTGACCCAGGCAGTTAAAGAAAAACAACAAATTCAGGACTTGTTCATATAAGTCTGTGGTTCTCTTAGGAACTTGTACATTTTGGAAAAAGAAACAAGTTTAAACACGCCTCGGCATAAATTAAATCCCCTTCTCACTTTTTGCTTTCCAAAAGCTAAGAGAAAAACATGAAACCTCCTTTAGCGAGGTCTCAAGTTCTCTGTCACCGATCTGCTAGGTCCAAATCTGCAGCTCTTGAAGCCAAGCCCCAAAAACAGATTTAGTGTATGTAGCTTTAACTATACAAACACATCTCATCTTCATCTGAAGATCTTGTGGCTTCAAACATAATGAACACAACACTTTCTTCATTGGAAATTACTCATAGTTTTCATCCTCAAAAGTAAAAACCACACAGTGGCTTGCACATGGATGAAATGAAAAGTATTTGTTGAACTGAGAACAATTGGATCATGTTATTGTCATATCTTTTTAAGAATATTTTTTAGAAACATATAGGATATAATGATAAGACATCTAGAATTTGCTTTAAAATAATTCTTTGAGGGAGGGGGGATGAATACGGGTATAGATGAAACAAGTTTGACCATGAGTTGATAATTGTTGGAGCTAGGTAGTGGAAAAACATGGTGGTTCACTATACTATTCTCTTTTTGTGTATGTTGGTAAGTCAAACTTAGAAATATGCTATAATTCTTTTTTTTTAATTTTTTATTGGGGAATTGGAGGGATGGGAACAGCACTGGGGAATTGGGAGAAGGAGAACAGACAAGTTGCTGTTGTTTTTGTTCTTCAGTCTAGTTGTGGAGGACGTTGCTTCACTGGCCCAAGTTGGCACCATCATTGTGCTCTTCCCGGGCGAGGCAGATCAGTCGCCGGCTTCTGGATGGCTGCTCACGGCGGCTGCTGGCCGCTCACGCTGGCTGCAGGCTACATATGGTAGCCCATGGCAACCCACTGCCACAGGGGTAGCCAGCGACTCATGGCAGCCCAGCTCCAGGGTGAGCTGTTGTTCAGCATCTTAGCTGTAGAGGGCAGTGTCACTGGCCCTCATATGTAGGATCCAAACCGGGGCCCTCTGGTGTCCCAAGCCAGTTCTTAACCATCGTGCCACTCGGCCGGCCCGGTACTACAATTCTTTAAGCCATTAGTCTAGCACTATCTTTCTTGATGCTGAAGAAATTACAGAAAAAAAACAAACAAAAAAACCCAGCCATCTAGATCTCCCTGCAAATAAGCTTGGCATTAAATTCCTAGTATCACTAAGCACTAACCCCCTTAGACCTGGGAAGGAGATGCCCCAATCATGGACCCCATGCTCTGAAGGACCTTACATATCACAAACACACATTAATTTATTAAAAAGCGCATGGCTACCTCTGACGCTCCTGATCTCATGTTGAACACTGGCCCACAACCATAAAGACCCTCTCCCATGACCAACATTATTCGGCCCCAGGGAAACACTTCTTATCTCTTGCCCTATATCTTCAAAACAAAAAGTAGATTCCAAATGCAGTGAAAACTTGTGGGGAATATACCCACCCATATCAGAGACAAACCGCAGTGGAGTTCAGACGATTTGAGCAGCAGAAGTACTTAAGAGGACAGATAACTAACTTGTCCAGTTGTTCCTTTCAATTTGAATGCAATAGATTGTTGCAATACAAAGTGGTGTCAAGCACAGGCTTTCCTTCACTTAGAGTTCCAATTTGTGATTCCAACACTGATAATTTAGCATAGTTACATATTCAATAGTTGCACATGGCTCACTGGTCTTCATTTGTATTCGTATCCCTGGTTCTCATAAATATTATAGGCAGGCCTGCCATGAAAATAAATATCCTGTGTATTTTGGGTATTTACAAGGCTCATTAGGGCCCAAACACCATATGCTATAATTACCGGGTATTTAAACTGTGGAACTTTACAGTAAATAGTGATTAAGGTGACTAAATTTCAGACAAGATGGTATAGTAGAAGAAGAATGTGGGTGGTATCAGCCACCTTCTGTTCTCTCAAGTGAGGTTTCTAGGGATGCACACACACTCTGGTAGAGCATAGATAAGGTCCTAAGTGGGTCGCTCACACATATGACCTTTAAGTACTTGTGCCACACACACTTACCCTTGCTTATCCCAAAACATTCTGAAATTATTAAAAAACTGGCATAGATAGCAACAGTGTTCGATTCACTGCTTATAATACCTGGCACTTAATAGTCACTTCGTAAATGTTCAGTGAAAGAATAGATGAATGATAGAGCTTATGGTAGAAATGTGAAGGTGCCTGAGACTGAATATGCAATAACTTGATTCTTATTTTACTGTACTTTTTTTAATAGCACAGACACACTCATTTATTTACTCAGACCCTTTATTGGTGCTAGATCTTAGAACCTATTAAAAATGTCATTATTTAAGTTCCACTTGATTTAATTTTCTCCCATTACTTTAAATATTTTCAAAAGAGTTCTTTGGGATTTAAGTATACTTCTTAAAATCCTTTTTAAAAGGATTTTTATTTAAAAAGCTACCTTTTTAAATAAAAATAAAATAAAATTGAGATAATAATATTCAAGACTGGCTCTGGAAGGGACCCCTAAACAATTTGGCCTTTAATTTTTGAGTGCCTCCACCACCAGATTCATCTTCTTCTTAGGATCTCTCCCTAATTATGACCGCCATCAATATGTTGGATTCCAGAGGATACTGTTGGTCCCTTTTAAACTGTGTCCCAAGTATGTATGTTATAGCCCAAAGCATAACTGGACTGCTCAAAAATAACTTGATAAGTAGGGGCAAATAAGAGAGGAGAAATTAACACAAAATAATTGAATTCCAAATTCCCTAGTTGACAAAATGTAGCTTGTCTCAAGATTTGAGGGCAAAGCACCCAGAGAACTTCCCCCTTTTTCATTCCTTAGTTTGATCTCCTGTTTCCAATTCTGGGTCCACAGCTCACAGCACATTAATGAACATTTAGTTACAAAGGTCCTTTCCTCATTACTTCACTTAAAACTACTTCTATTCTAGAAGAGTTGATAATAAAGTAAAATTCATTTTCCCAGGGTTTTTTTCAATGTAATTTTGCAAATGTACTTCTACTTGTTTCCAAGATGAGTGTGACAGAGGAGAAGCTCCTATAAACCTCTCCTGTTCCCTGCTGATTTCTTCAAGGGGCAGCACCCTGTGTCGGATGTAGTATTCCTTCTCTATACTCATCTTGCACTTAACAATAACAAGTGGTAAAGAGCTAAGCTCCATGAAAAGGTAGAAGAGAAACAGGCAGATCCCTGAAGTCTGGTGTCCTCTTGTTTTTCCCAACTCAGTTGCAGCATATTGAAAGCAAAAGCTTTAGCAGATGCACAATAGAAAGAAAAGCAAAAGCTTAGCAGATGGTACCCAGGCAGGTAGCTTTATGAGGGCAAGGAGGTAAAAACAAGCTAATCAAAGTGCAGAATGGAGTGGGCTGAGTGGAGAAGGTGAAGTAAAGACGGCAAGTATACACAACTCATTCAAGAGGCTTTACTGTGAAAGGGAGCAGTAAAATAAGCAAATATTGAAAGGAACAAGGGTGAAAGGGGAGGAGCAGTTAAGATGGGTCGGCTCGGGCACCCGAGGGAACGAGCCGGAAAGGAGAGGGGAGATGACTGTCGAAATGTCATAGAGAAAAGGACATGAGACCCAGAGTAAAACTGGAACTTCAAGAGATTCTGGATTTCCCGCGAATTAGTCTACTAGGATCTTGATCAATTAATTGGAAAAATAATAACTATAACTGCATGTGTAATTTTAGTTCCGCATGGTAAAAACACCTTTTATGTATTATCTCACTGAACCCTCACATCAGTTCTATGAGTTCACTACTATTATTATCCCAGTTTTTACACATCAGAAAATATGCTCCAGGAGATGAAATAAGTTGCCAGGGTTACACAATCAGTAACTGGGGAACTACTATTAACTTGTGGTAAACATTAACAGTGGAAAACAACTGTTAACAAAGGCATGAAGCAAATGTTACCAAGAAAGGTAAGTGAGGCCTCAAGCAAGAGAACAGGTCAAAAGAAAATGAGGGTCAAGGGTAAAAGTTAGACTCTCCCACCCAGAGCTCTTATTTATGTGTTTTTCTTTTCTTTTTTTTTTTTTAAACTCGTGGTCTGGCGTTCATCAGTGCCACCTTCTTTCCATAAAGAAGTCCTTTCCTTGGTTATTGTCTCTGTAAGCCAGGTGCTCTAAATGGATATCAATGCTAATTAATAAGGATCCCATAAAAATTTCAAGCACATTTATTTATGTTACTGTCTCAAGAAGTCTTTTCTCTTCTCACTGTCAGCTCTGAAACAAGCAAGAAATACAATTGTCTAAATACTCAGATTCTAATCAAAATCTAAGGTTGTCCCACCCTAAACAGGACATCTGGTCATTGTATTAAAAACCAGTCCCTTTTTACAGGCAGAAGGAAACGGACAACCAACTCAGCCTGTAGACATGACTGCAATGCTCTCTATCAACATCTTTAAGAAAGACCACTAAATTCTGATGCACTATTTGCAGGGAGGCAACTGGACTGGGCCAAATTGGCCAGGTCCAAAGATGACAAATTAAATATCATTTTTAGACTTACAACTTCACTTAGATGACATCTGCCTTGATATATTTTTTAAAATAGTGTTTCAAGAACAAACTGTCACCAGTTAGTTATTTTTTCATTTAGGTCCAGAAAAATGTATGTTATTTTTTTCTTCCCACTTCCCACATGCCAACTAAAACCACTTCTTTCCTTATTCAAAGCTATGTTCAAATATATCTCCTCCAAAATAAGAACATTACTAAACCATTACCTTCTGTATAATCTCATTTATACTTTCTTTTTCTGCCATATTCTGTAATTCATCTTTTAAGTAGTTTCTATCTTATCACAAAAAGCTATAGACAATTCCTTGTAGTATCTTTCTTGTTTTTCTTTTCTTTTTTAAAATTTTTTTGGTAGGTGTATATTTTTATGTTGGTGGTTGAGATGTGATTCACCCTTATTTC